AACGCGTTATGAGATTTCCGAGGAAATTCCGAGGTGGAGGGTTTCGGGAATGTGTGAGAAACCCGTGAATTTTTCCCCGCGGGATTATGCCGTAGGAATTCCGCAGGAACGTCCGGTTGCATTGCTCGGTGCAATTAATGCACCCCCGCCGCGGCGTCGCGCTATAAGGGTGCATTCGTGAACGCATCCATTTGCGCATTTGCACACGCAATGCCGCACGACGGGTATGATAGATTGCGAGTAAGAGCACCCTCGAAGGGTATAGAAACCCCGTGATTGATGTCGCCGAGCGTGAGAGCATCGCAAGGCGATGCACATGCGCGGATTGCTCCGAAGCGGTGCAGTTCGTGTACGAGAGATTCATTAATAATATCCTCCTAGGCGGCCATTTTCTTATTTAAGCTCGCAGGGAACATCTGAGGCTGGCAAGATTCGAGCCCTGAGGGTACCGATACTGCTACGAATATTAATATTCCTGGGAATAATGATTGAAGGAGCGACGATCTTCCGACCGGTGGCTGTTTAAACTGGACTGCCCAACAAAGGTGTTGGATTAATTCATCAAGGAATAATTAAAATTTAAATCTAAATATGGAGGCTACAAGGAACCCGTGACACCGATGAAATTTCTTTTTTTTTTGTAGGAATCTTTTTTGTAGGAATTTTGTAGGAATTTTTTGTAGGAATTTTGTAGGAAGGTGTTGCATTAATTAATCGAGGATTCAAATTGAAATCTAAATATGGAGGCTACAAGGAACTCATGACACCGATGAAATTTCTCTTTTTTTTTTTGTAGGAATCTAAAGAAACATTAAAATTTCATGGGTGTCAGGGGACCTTCCTTAGAACCTCCACTCTGGTATCCATAATCGAATCGTTTTATTGGATATGAATGTTGCATGATTTTTGTGAGGCATATAATAAACTCTGATTTTCTTCGAGACTTCGTGGCTATCTCGACCTCGGGCGTTCATTGAGACGTCCCGATGAGTGCGTATCGAATGTGTCGATAATTATTGAAACCGATCGCCCGACAAACAGGTTAATCGAGGATCTCGGTGATTACATGGTTTGCTCCGATTACGAGACCGGCGTAAACGGCGATCCTCGAGGTCGGCCTCGGTGCGAGAAATCCCGAGATCGGCCTCTCGACAAAAGGCGAGGCACATCTCGCGAGGCTTTATTTACGCGCCATTAATGAGCAGTCCCGTTTTATAAATAACGAGTTAGGGAGCCGAGTTCGTGCTTTTTCGCACTCAGAAAACTCCGGCTCTAACGACCGTGCTCGCCGTACTTCCGGCTAGACCGTGGCCGGTAATGGCGGGATCTTTCCGCGAGCACGGTGATAAGAACGAGGCATGTTTCACGGGGCTTGTACGCGGAAAACTCTACCTGGAAGGCCCGAATTACTCGATTTCTCGCGGATAAAAATCTCATCATCATTCCCAGTAGCCCCAACATCGTAAATATCGTCCCGTCCGTTTCTTTTGAATTATTTTGAATTAATTAACTCGGAAAATCGGAGATTTCAATGCCCGAGATGACGGAGAAATCAGCTGAAAATCGTTGGAAATCGCCAAAACGGTGTCATAATTTTAAGGCTGAACGTTACCTGCTATATCTAATCACGGTGTAGCTTTTGTCGTATGAAAAATCAAAGACAATCGATTCTCGAAGGAAGAAATTGCTCCAATTGATTTCCGAGCGAGTAGCCCCTTCGGTTTCGGCGCGGCGGCCATTTTAAAAATTGATTCCTTGCCAGGGATTCCGGATTTAAATAGTCCGGATAAAAGTGCTAATAAATCCGCGTGCCTGCGATACGGAGAACGCGATACCCTAATCGCGCGTGTCAAGTGACACGCGATGCCAAGACCTAGAGTGTGGATACACGTGACGAATCGCTCCCAGGACGCGAGCCAGCCTCCGCGGATTTCCACGAGCCCTGAAACTCGGTTGATCGCTCTGATTTATGAGAGGGAGCTCGAGAAGCCATGCCGGAAGGTGCCTCTAATTTTGAGAAATCTCAGGCATCGATCAATTCGTCTTGACAGCTGCCAAATCTCGGGGGACTCGAGTAAGAATCGCGCGTCGACGTCGGACGTCGAACCTGGATTTGAGGAAAAAATAAGAAAAAAATATTTCAAACTGCAGGAATAATTTACCGAGACTTTTTTTAGTCCTGGATACATGTTTTGGGATTTGGGGAAAAATCGGAACGAGTCGTAGAGGAGAATTTAATGGCTGGAAATTTATTGGGGAATTTTATTTGCAACGATGGGAAGCGCTTTTCGGAGTCGCGGATTCTCGGCCTCCCTTTTCGACCAACCCTGAAGAGCGACTTGCCGTCTCTTTGGGGCAGAAAGGAACGTCGGAAGGGAAAAAGAAAGAAAGAAAGGGGCAGCGCAATTTCCCCGCGACACCACGGGGAGCCACAAAGTTGGCCTTTTCTTCGGGAAAGCCGGGAAAACGCGGAAAAGGCTCCGGCGCAATCTGCCTCCCCGAGAATCTCGCTTTTCATCGCTCGAGGGGAATTCTCGTCGATGTCGTTTCACCCTGAGCACTCTTTCCGAGGTTCTTCCTATTTTCCATACTCCCGCGACACCCGATCCGATGAGGAGAAAATAGAAAACGGGGAAAAAAGGAACGTCACCCCGCGAAAATCTCCTCCACCTGAGAGACTTAAATTACTTAAGTAATTCTCCATGAAGATCTGCGAATTTAAATTCCTCCTGAATTTAGGATACCTTAAAATGAATGCCCCAATAAATACGGAGTCTATTCCTCGACTTTTACTTGGTTAATTAATAACAGGGTAGTTTTTAATTTATTCTGAAAATTATAGGGAGATGGTGGAAATCGTCCCGTGGGGTGCCGGAATTACTGGACCGCGTGAATAAATTAGGAGTATGTCAGAATAGCCGTATCAATTCCGTTCTAATTACGGTGATGCCACTAATGTGTCTAGTGGTCAGTTTGAGAAATAGTTGGCACCGCCTCGCTTGTTGTTATTAGTGTTTAATCGGTGATTATTTATAGCCTCTCGGCCTGCTTTCCACGGCACGAGCGAGAACCGATCGCCGTTTATTTATCGAATGTTCTTTCGGGACGGTTTGTCATCTCGCATCTTAATTCCCTTAATTGAAAATCTCGTTTCACCATCTCTTTTGTCACATAAATTATTTTAAGACGGTATCTAAGGTTCGTCCGAGTTGGGGAAGTTTCAGGCCGCACCATCTTCGAGGCTGCCGAAAGGACTGTAATTTGATTTAATTAGACCGGGATCTTCAAAGACAGACTCGACACGTACGACATCGGCTCGAGTTTCGCGCATCCGAGGAAATTCTCCTCGACTTCGACTCGAGTTTCCCTCGAGGTAATCGCAACCCATCCCGAGGAGCTCCTAAGGATCCTTTCTTCGAATGCGCGGGTCATTTAAAATAGGAAAATTAATTTTCCTCGGGGGGAGGGATTATTTTCAATAATAGTTCGGTTGATACAGTCGATAGAGAGATATGCGACATTTTTCCGACCTCGAATACGACATATCGGGTTAATTGTAGCTCCCAATATCTCCTAAGGTTCCTTTCTTCGAATGCACGGGGCATTTAAAATCGCAAAATTAATTTTTCTCGGGGGAAGGGATTTTTTTCAAGAATAGCTCCGTTAATATAGTCGATATGGGACATTTTTCCGACCTCGAATTCGACATATCAGGTCAATTGTAGCTCCGGATAGCTAGTTTTACCCTCAAATCTTATTTCTTTCTTTGAAGGCGCGGGTCATTTGAAATCGAAAATTAATTTTCCTCAGGGGAAGGGATTTTCTTCAAGAATAGCTCCGTTAATATAGTCGATATGGGACATTTCCGCGACCTCGAATTCGACATATCGGGTCAATTGTAGCTCCCAATATCTCCTAAGGTTCCTTTCTTCGAATGCACGGATCATTTAAAATCGCAAAATTAATTTTCCTCGGGGGAAGGGATTTTCTTCAAGAATAGCTCCGTTAATATAGTCGGTATGGGACATTTCCCCGACCTCGAATTCGACATATCGGGTCAATTGTAGCTCCCAATATCTCCTAAGGTTCCTTTCTTCGAATGCACGGGTCATTTAAAATCGCAAAATTAATTTTCCTCGGAGGAAGGGATTTTTTTCAAGAATAGCTAGGTTAATATAGTCGATAGAAAGATATGGGACATTTTCCCGACCTCGAATTCGACATATCGGGTCAATTGTAGCTCCCAATAGCCAGTTTAGCCCACAAATCTGATTTCCTTCCCTAAGCCGGATTCGAGGGATGCCTTCGAAGAGGCGAATTTCGCGACGGATTTGCCGATACCTTTGAAGCCGAACTCGAAATGGAGATATTACTTCCGGGGTGTCGACTAACTACCATCCGAGCCGGCCGACCTGATCCGGATTAAGTTCCCGATTTAAGTGACGACGTAATTAAATCGGGATTAGAGTGCACTTTGGGCTGATTGGCGCGATCCAGCATTTCGCTGGATAATCACCCTCCTCGTGGGTCATCCTCATAACGTCTTAATATTCCCTAGAAAATTCCACCCCTTTTGCATATATTCATTCCCAACGTCAACAGGATGGCTAAAAAGAAAAGAAAAAAAAAAGCCACCCTAGAGCTTACTTCTATTTCCATTTGTGATTATTTTTTTCGACTGTTTCCTCGGGGTAAACAAGCGATGGGCAATTTCCCCGGGAAAATCGATCTCGGTTAATTATTCGACGATTAACCGTTTTCGGTTAAATCCCACCGGCTGTTTGTTTCGCCATTTTATCGAGCGTGATGCGCACGGCTTCGCGTAATGACGTTTGTTTGCCGAAAAGGGAGATAAAGGGCCCTCGAAAAATAGAGAAAAAAGAGACAATTGAACCAGGCAATATTTCCGGAAAGCATTCCCTTCCTGAAGGGCCGAATTGAAATGACTTTCGGATTTCTCTCAACAGGAGGAATTTGTTTAAATGATTGTTCACACTTACCGTTCGGCACCGTCGTCGGTTTTTTCGTCTGCACCCGCGCTGTCGCGTTGTTCACCTGCCAAATTATAAGCGACTTTGATTTAATACATGTTTTCAAGTTTACATATTATTGCAAGAACTCGGGCGATAAGATAAGCGGTTAAAAATTTGGTGCCATCGAATAAATTCATGAATAATTGTTTTCCTTCGTTCAAATCACCTTACAACGGTTTTTTTTTTAATTTCTAAATCGCTGGAGTTCCTGCAAGTACTTGGATTCCAACAGATACGCAAAATCGCGAATTAATGACCATTGTTTTTACGGACTTTATGTTCGCAGAAATCGCCAGCCAGAGGTTCCGACATTTTCGTAATTGTGCGTACGAGCGGAAATTGCGATATCGCTAATTATTACCATTAATGAAACCTAAACGTTGCGCACTGCACGTCGAATACAAAGGAATTTTGCATAATTCTCAACCAACCGATCACAGAATACATCCTATCATTGTTTAAGATTAAAACTTGTTAATTTGAAAACCCCTTCAATTAGCAAGAAATTAGCGGTCGGATTTGCTCGTCTCAAATTTCAGCATTTTTCCTTCCCTGATTTTCGTTGTCATAAAGAAAATCTGAAAAATGAAGTATTCCCATTTTCATTAAACAGGACTGAACGAAGTGCGCTCAAATTCGAGACTTCATCCACCGCGCTCATGTTAAAAAGAAAATAAAAAAAAGATGAAGAAGAAAAGGGGAAGAAAAATCGAACCAAGTTCGACGTGCAGCTGCATTGCGATTTTGAATTCGGAAATTCGCCTCCCCTCGTCCCGATCGAGGGGCGTAAAAATTCGGAATATGATCGAATTTCATAAAGCGCAATTTTTTGCCTTTATTTTTCAAAGGCTCGAGGTAACAACGAGTCTTCATCATCAAGGAGACTTTTCCCTTTTTCGCTAGTGCTTTCCATTCCCTCGAGATTTCGGCCTGCTTTTCCGAATTCAAAGGTCGCTCAAAGACGCTAAGTTGAGGAACTTCCGGTTCCTCTCGTCCCTTTGACGGGGCACTTCCGGTTCCAGAGCCAAGTCTCCGGTCCAAGAAAAGAAGGTATTCTCGGGCAGAGAGGCTCTCGACTCGATCGGGGTTCGATGAAGGAGCCGGAGATCGATTAATCTCGCGAGGGCGAGATTAATTCTCGATCGGAGGCTGGGCATCTGGACCGCCGAGTCGCGCACAAAATCGCGAGGAAACGCGCTCTCGTTCTCCACTTTTCTCGACTCTTTTCCTCATTTTTCCCTCCTATTCGCTCCTTTCCTCCTTCCGGGCAGACTTTTCAATCCCGATGTCTTTTCCTTTTTAATTCCGGCTCGCCTTCGATCCTTTTGACGAGGCTGAATATCAGCGTCTTCCTCGCCGACCCGACTCCCCTTTATTCGGGGAAGAATGGAATTTCAGTTAGTTCGATTTTCCTCTCAGGTTCGCCGCTTTCTTCGCCCCGATCCGGTCGAGACGTCCCTCGAATTAGCGGGCAATCGATATCCTTGCCGAGCTCCAGGACTCGAACGGGCATTCCTGCCAGAGATCCTGCAGACCTCGGAATATTGGATCCGGCTCTAGATTTCTCCAGTCTAGTCTCTAGGAGCCCAGCATAGGACTACCAGTCCCTAGATCCGCTAAAAATGACTATAAAAGGTCCTGCCAGGGCCTCCTCCAAGAGCATCGCCAGACCAGAAAATCCAAGGACTACTTTAATATGGATTTCTCCTGAAGACTGAGTTTTCCCAAAACAGCCTTATAAAATAAATTCCGCATCGAAACCACCCCGAAAACATATGAAAAAAAAAACCACATATTCTGAAGAGGATCCTTCCGAGAAGGAATTTATTCCTGGGTGATTTTCTGTAATTTGAAATTATTCTTCCAGGCTTCAAAGGCGAATCCAGAGACTTCCGGTAAGACTCCTGCAATTTGAGGGAACTTTTCCAGGTTTTGCGGATCCTTTTTTTGTTTTATTTCCACCCTGGGAGGAATCAAAATGTCCTTTTCATGTAGTTTGCGAGGATTCGAGGGGAATCCCCGGAGAACGCGTTTCCTCGATAATTTACGCACGACCCGCGTGCGATATTGCGTACGCGCCTTAAGGACCGTGCGGAAAGTACAACTAAGGGCTCCTTCGGGAAAACATTAACGAGAATGTTAATTCCCTCGGAGGATTTACGGGCGCAATACTCGCGGACTCCTTGACGCCTCGAGTAACGCGGAAATTATGCTCCGATATATCCTAGGAACACCGCGATCGTATTTCTTCGGCAGAAGTTCTCAGTTCCAGTGCGTAAACGACACCTTCCTCGACTTCTACGAGGATCCCGGGGACGATGAAAACGCACGTAAATAAGGCCGCCCTCGAACCCGGGGGACGTTTTATTACTTGACTTCTGCATTTGCATCGCTGCGCCGGAACTAAAAACTGCGCCCTTAACCTAAAGTCCCTGCTTTTATGGTCGCTCGAGAAAATGGCCGTGAGAGATTTCAGGGAGAAGGAAAAAAAAAATAACTGCGCCTCCTTGAATTTAAAGAGTTACGATAAATCCAACGGCGAGTAAAATCTCGAACAGCTGGAGAGAAGATCAAGAAAAAAAATTCCACACTCATCGGAGATTTTTTACAAATAATTTCTAAATCAAAGGAAAATAACATCTCCTTCCTGTTTTTTAAATTGCTCCACTTCCATCGTGGACTATATTTAAATAAACATCCCACGGCCGATACTTCCGAGCGACTACCTTTCTTTCGTCTGTCGGACGCCGCTCGCTCCTGCTGGACCAACTGGGATGCTGCGTCTCGCAATTTGCATTTCCACGTTCTCAAAAAATTCGGCCCCGTTCTTCCGGGGGCCGGGGATTAATGTAAAAAATAAAAACACATAGAGGAGCTCTCCGGGTGGGGGGAGAGAGAGCTCCCGCCGAATGGAGCCGATCGTAAAGGCGATTTGCATTTAACGACCGACCGGGCATTAAAGTCTCCGGGAAGAAAGTTTCGACTTTTAACGCGAGTCTCTCTACGGCGACATCGGACCTTTAATTGGCCCCTCCGCGACAAATCCTTACCAGGGAATAGAAATTACAGTCCCCGAGTTGTTGCTGCCTTTCCCTGTGTTCTTTCTCCACGCTTTATTAATTTTTTTATATTTAAATCGGGCCGGTTTGAATTTTCTGATCGGTCACCGGAATCCAAATCGCGCTTTTCTGTCGCGCCATGCATGTCGCGAATGCCGCAAATGAATTTTCCGGATTTCGAGCTCCCCTTTCTCCCGTCGTTCCGGGAAATTGATAGAAATTACCCCGTTAACGAGTCGACCGAATGACGGGGAGGGGCGCGAATGAATTTTTAAAATTCCCCACGGCTCGTCGAACGATTTCGATAGGGTCGAAACAGTTCGACCGGACGAAAGGGAGTGCGAAATTATTCCATGAATTTTCCAGGACGCAAAAATCGATCGGATCGAGGCGAACAAAAATTCAGGGACGGTTTTTATTATTGAAAATTGATTGATCAGTTGTGTATTTTTTGTTTCTGTTTTTTTTCTTTTTTTTTCATTGCGAGTATCGATGTCTTCTCGGCGTTACTGTGCGAAAATAGAGGGTCAACAAAATTCGACGGGAAGTTTTGGAAATAACCGGGGTCTAATGGATTTCTACCAAAATGGTTCGATCTATTCGGGGAAAATGATCTGGGTCGGAAAGGCGGAAATAGTCCTGTCGAGCTGAAAGACGTGACACTAACCTGGCCTACTCAGAGGCCTGAATGTCGATAAACTTAGCAGAACTCTCTAGTCGAGATCGATCACTTATTAAGTATCCCCGGATGTACAAATTCGTGACGCGCCTCGAGGTGCTACAAATTTTTATTAAAAAAACCGCCAATTTCCAAATGTCCAATAGTCAGGCACCTATTTGCTGTTAAAATGATGTCTCTGGCAAGAGGTAAAACTTTACGGACGTGCCTGAAATTAATTATGAAATATTAAATTAATATCGTTTTAGGACGATTTAGAGGAGAGAAATTTATAAGGGCCGTGAGAAACGGATTTTTATTATTAACTGCACCGATTTTGACATTTTCATTGCGGGACGTGATATATCAATTATCGCGGCTTTTCTCTAGTGTACAATTTTACGGACGTGCCTGAAATTAATTATGAAATATTAAATTAGTATCGTTTTAGGACGATTTAGAGGAGAGAAATTTATAAGGGCCGTGGGAACGGATTTTTATTATTAACTGAACCGACTTTGACATTATCATTGCGGGACGTGATATATCAATTATCGCGGGTTTTCTCTAGTGGAAAATCACAGAAAGATCCAAAATCCTCTTATGATGTCCGGCATGCGCGCCCGTCAGTCCGCGGGCACATAATTTGCATAACGTTTCTACGCTGCAATGTAGATCGGGCCGAGGATAGTCGATCTAAATTACCGGCCGTCGGCAAACAGGGCCGTGGGATAATTACCAGTGACAATACCAGCCGATGACAAACGATACGACGATGGTAATCCACGTCCGCGAAAATCGCCCGATGTCCTCCCCGACTCGCCCAGTTAAGGCTTAGAAATCGCGTCTAAATTTAATTTCCGCCCAAAAGAGACCACTCTATTAACACGAAAGTCCCCGTCAATCATCCACCTTCCCTCAAAACCGACAAACATCCAAATAAAAAGCCACCAAGCCCCCAATTAAGAAAAGAAACCCTCACGCCCGTCCCCACTCGCCTGACGCTCCCTGCAGAAATTCGCTAAAAAAAAAATCATAACAAATCCGGAAAATCCTTTAAAAAATTCATAGAGGACCCGAGAACACCGATCAACCCCCGTAGGATAATAAAATCAAGATGTGTAATTTTTTTCAAACAATTTTTGCTCGAGGAAATGAAGAAAAACATGATTTTCTAGTAAGTCTTTCTCAATAAGGGTATTTTGACGCAATTTATCCCTTATCATTGGCAAATCCAGGCGGTTTTCGGAAACTCGCGCACCCCCTCTTTCCCCCGAACGAACTGGGGGGGGTTTTCCCCCACAA